CTATCTACATCCTGAGCCCATGACCTCACAGTGATAGCACCTGGACACACTATGACAAAGGATGGTGGGGCCAGGGAAACACTTATATATCGTTTTTAAACATTTTAGTATTTTGGCACAAGGGCAAACTCATGTTGAAAGTCCACCCTTCCCTCTTGATCTTTACAGTCCTGCTCTCCATAGACAGATTTAACTAAGCTCTGGTCATAAAATGTTAGCATTATTTGAATACTGGGGCAAAAGGATGCTTAAAGCAGACCACAGCCTACCATTCATTACATAAGACCAAAACAAAGAGTCACACAGTGAAGGGTTATGGCTCGGGGTCGGGTGACAGCAGCATATGATTCATGGCTCGCTGTGCCCTTTTGTCTTGTCCTCCTTGTGGTGGGACCATCCACTGCTCTTAGCCAATGTTATTTCACAGCCTTCAGAGCTCGCTCCCCGTCTGTTTCAAGCAAACCGGCAATGTCATTTCCTATGTCTTGTTCTTTCCTCAGTGCAGAAATAAGGAAAGAATATGGCATGTGTCACAACAAGAGATGTTCCTTTTTCTTCATTGTTTTGATGTCGCGAAAAACAAACAGTATCAACATTGCTTTTGATTTATCTGTAAAGGTTTCTTATACATCGCAGTGACTTTTATTACATAAAAAGGTAATTACCAGACCAGTGGTGGGTGTTTGAGGTACTGGTATGTGTTCAGACAGAGGACGAGAAATATGCCAAGGAGGATAAATTCAATGCACCGCGATAACCTTTGATATTACACTCAGGCCAAAGTATCTCTCTCTGTTAGATCTTTATATTTTTTGACTGATTATTGTGTGTTGTAGTCTGAATTTTCTGACAAAGACATTGAAAAATGTTCTGGTTTGCATTAGGATTTCCTTACAACAAGTCAAAGTGGAAAATACAAATGGAAAACCAAGAGAGCATGACTGAAGCATGAATTTTAATCATTTCAAAATTTTCCATATGCGGACACAGCGTGTTGCATGGCCACCACATCAATAACGTCCAAGCGGCTCATTAGAATTATGGAAACTCATTGATTTTATGCAAATTAAACTATGACTGTATCTGCAAAAAAAAAAATCTTTTCATTTGCCATATGGTGAGTCAAGCAGCATGCTTTTGTTTATGAATATATGTGCATGAAATTGAATAAAACTGCTCTGAGTAGCGACACACACTCTGACTGTACTAAAATGGGGATGTTTGGTTTGCAGCAGAGGTTTCCCCTTCTTCGCTCAGACAAATGTGAGGTTTGGAGCTTCTAATAGAGTCAAACAGCTGCTGACACCAGCTGCGTGGCACAAGTTGTTGCTCCATTTGGTACTGTGGGGTTACATGTGTCCTGCCAGTCGCAATGCATGTGTGTTTAGGGAACCTTTCCAGAAACACAGACACAAAAGGAATGGAGTAACCTATTATTTAGACTACCAAAAACAAAGCTGGATATTCAGATACAGTATATGTGGAGTGATTAGGCCACTGGTTATGGCCTATGTCCTTAAATGGGACGTTATACTCAGATTGCCTTTGTTACAACACTGATATTTATAGGAATATTATATTGATATCAGGTGGAATTGTGTCATACTGTCGCTGTCCTTCACTAGATTAAGCCTTTCACAGACACAGTCATGTTTTTCAGTGATATTATCATGATTTATAGGCAAGGAAAAGATCAAAAGGAAGCCTGTCATTGTCTGTCTGTCTGTCCTCACCGCTGTCCTCTCATGGGCGGCACGCACAGATGTCCGCGCGGGAGTTCCCTCTCTCTGTCCATTCATGGAGTGTCTGTTGTCAATAGGGCAATGGGTTACCAAATATGGACACCTGTCAGGGTATAAAGTGGTCCGACGTGACGATCCGGCACCCTCTGGTTCACACCCTGAAGATCCGGCGTCTGGTGCTGATCTGGTGAGTAAACCTGCACGGCTAACTAAGGGACCGAATGGGGCCAAACAACCAGTGGATTTATCACAAGAGGATCGATACAGGATTTTTCATCCTTGCCTAACCAAATGTCAGCAACTAACTGAGACGGATCATCTCACAGCATCGGCTTCTTTTCTTTTGCAGATTGTGGATTATAGTGGTGTGAATACTAAAAAAATAACTTACAGTTCTTGTGTTAGTGACCCAGCAAAGAAAACCCGAACACTAACACATGCCTTTAACACGCACTTCTGTATCATATAATATCAGCAGCAGCAGCAAACGACAGCTAACCGTCATTCCCTTCACTGCTTGTCCACAAAACACGACCTTATGTGTGTTGTTTGTCGTACCCGGCTTGGAGAGACAGCTTCAACCATGCAATCCAAACAAACAGGGGATTCCATTATTGGATCTAACCGTGTCACTGCGGGCGTGTGCGTGCGCGCCCCCGTGTGTTTTGCAGAGCTGACACCATGTGCGACGACGAAGAGACTACCGCCCTGGTGTGTGATAACGGCTCCGGCCTGGTGAAGGCTGGGTTCGCCGGCGATGACGCACCTCGCGCCGTCTTCCCCTCCATCGTTGGTCGCCCCCGTCACCAGGTGAAGTAAACTATTCATAAACTATCACTTCAGACTTGATGGTATCACATTAAACAATCTGTGGCTTTAAGAAAAAGTGCCAGATCAAGCGTGCGTAATTGCGCGCCAAAATTACGCATCGATATTTCAATTTATGACTGACATAAACCGACCATTTATGTTTTTTTTTGTTTGTTCTGAAAACAAAAGGTGGTAGTTAATGATGCTCTAGTAGTTCTCCACCACATCACTGATTTCCCGATGCTCCTGTTTTCAGGGCGTCATGGTGGGTATGGGCCAGAAGGACTCCTATGTCGGCGACGAGGCCCAGAGCAAAAGAGGCATCCTGACCCTGAAATACCCCATTGAGCACGGCATCATCACCAACTGGGACGACATGGAGAAGATCTGGCATCACACCTTCTACAACGAGCTGCGCGTGGCCCCCGAGGAGCACCCAACCCTGCTGACAGAAGCCCCCCTCAACCCCAAAGCCAACAGAGAGAAGATGACCCAGATCATGTTCGAGACTTTTAATGTCCCCGCCATGTACGTGGCTATCCAGGCCGTGCTGTCCCTGTACGCCTCTGGGCGTACCACAGGTATGACATATAACTCAGGTGTGTAGAAGATTTTGTTCAGTGAGTTAATACATGAAATAACTGTTGCATTAATCATCAGGTATTGTCCTGGACTCCGGTGATGGTGTGACCCATAACGTGCCCATCTATGAGGGTTACGCTCTTCCTCACGCCATCATGCGTCTGGATTTGGCCGGTCGTGACCTCACAGATTACCTCATGAAGATCCTGACTGAGCGTGGATACTCCTTCGTCACAACCGGTGAGTATAGACTACTAATTCATATTTATGGCGGACTTTGGTTGGCCATAACGCAGTTATCAGTACTTTAACACTGTAAAAAAACACAACAAAAAAACATATTTATGCTCCTTCTCATATTTTTTCCGATGATGCACATTTGACTGACATAATTCTGGTCTCCTGCAGCTGAGCGCGAGATCGTGCGTGACATCAAGGAAAAGTTGTGCTACGTGGCTCTGGACTTTGAGAACGAGATGGCCACCGCCGCCTCCTCCTCCTCCCTGGAGAAGAGCTACGAGTTGCCCGACGGTCAGGTCATCACCATCGGCAACGAGCGTTTCCGCTGCCCCGAGACCCTCTTCCAGCCCTCATTCATTGGTGCGTAAAGGCGAGCGCAAACATGGAAGACTTAATTTAGTTTTAGGGACACTGTCCCATGAACTGTGGACTTTAAAGTGTTAGTAATTAGTCATTATTTTAGGTATTAAAGTATTAGAGTTTGCCAAAAGTATCAAATTATCTTATAAACAAATGAAAAGTGATATGAAGTTCAGTTGTTTTCGGCGCAGATCAACACAGAGCTCTTATTAAAGCAGAATAAACAGTGGATGAACGCATGGCTTTTCTAAAATACACGTGCTTATTGCTCATATATTTTTGGTTGGCTGCCTAAATATGATCACCAAGTGGAGGTCACAGTTTATCCACCGTCGGCTTTATCACTTCATCGCCGATAAATACACACGAGTCATCTAAAGCAGGGGCTTTGTTCACATTTGCGCCACAGAGCGCGCAGCTGTTGGCGGAGCTGTCCGTTTCAGCACCTGTTAGGACAGCTGACGGCGGTGTCAGATGTGTTCTCTGTAGCACTAACTTTTCCGCTGTGTTCGCACAGGCATGGAATCTGCTGGCATTCACGAAACCACTTACAACAGCATCATGAAGTGCGACATTGACATCCGGAAGGACCTGTACGCCAACAACGTTATGTCCGGCGGCACCACCATGTACCCGGGTATCGCTGACCGCATGCAGAAGGAGATCACCGCTCTGGCCCCCAGCACTATGAAGATTAAGGTAACTCAGAGTGTTTTATGAGGGAATATGACTGTGGCATTTCTAGTAGGAGAGTATCAGAGTAACAAGTGTGTGTGTTTAGATCATCGCCCCTCCTGAGAGGAAGTACTCCGTGTGGATCGGCGGCTCCATCCTCGCCTCTCTGTCCACCTTCCAGCAGATGTGGATCAGCAAGCAGGAGTATGATGAGGCTGGACCCTCCATCGTGCACAGGAAGTGCTTCTAAGCGCCAGACTGCCCCTCCCTCCCCTCCTTCCCTCACCCTCTGTCATCTCCCCCTTTCTGTGCCAACAACCCAATTTACGGCTCAAGAGGAATTCGTATGTTGTCGTCAAATTATTTGTTTACACTACAGGTGCAATTTATATGTGGATATGTACAGGTTTATAAATAAATAAAAGAGAACCGAGACTTGCAGGAGACGCGTCTTTCTTTTGCAGGATCTGGTTTGGGATCTATAAAAACCTCCCCCTGTCTTACTCTCTGTGTCTCTCGAAAGCAGCGGAGGCTTCTGTCCTTCTGTCACGTGATGGATGAGTAAAGGTTACTAAAGATTTGAATTAGAAAAGATTACAGTGAGCGGAGAGGATAAGCCACCTCATGAGAAATTAACCGCACCAAGTTTCATTGAGTGCAAACACCGCTGTCACGTGATCGGTAATCCCCAGTTTCCCAGGTTGGACAGAGCTCACCCTGCCTACCTGTAAAGACACATTTAGATGATGCTATTAATAGCCTCATATAATTAATAATATGATGCACTAGTAAGAAGAAGGTACGTTTCTAAGGCTGCATGTAAACCCAAAGTGAAGCCACTCTTTTTTTGGATAAAGACACACTCAGATTAGAAGTGTCAGACCACACACCAGTCTAATATTAGTGTACACACAATGCGGCGCTCCAACTTGATCAAATCTCAGGGCTATATACAGGGCGGGGTCACATATTTTGCTTCTATTTTTAAACCTCCACACACACAGACAGCGAGGGAGAGAGAGAGAGAGAGAGAGAGAGAGAGAGAGAGAGAGAGAGAGAGAGAGAGAGAGACAGGCAGGCTGCCTTGTAAAGCGATTAGCAACTCGGATGGTACTTTCACTCTGTCACTGTATCCAGAGCATCATCTTTGCCTGAGGTGAAAACAACAGCTCTACCAGCAGGCTGCGACATGTGGAGGGATACCTCCAGGGCATGCGAGGCTGTCCGCTCCAAGACAGGGGGATTGGGTTCATTTATAAAGCCGTGCAGGCTCAACAATAGGTTGTGTTAAAGTGATTAAACACACAGGCTACACGTCTTTGTAACCACCTGCATTATATTGTTAAGTTAAAAACACACGGACATCACCTTGACCCATGCGCACAGAACATGGTGCACCCACAACCCCTGTCCAAAAAGGATGGAATTGTTATATGTGGTGCACATGTGGTTCTGTAGCTCAGTGAGTTGTAACAATACAGCCATGGTTAGAGGTTTGATTCTCACCCATGCTAAAATGTATAAACTCACTAAAGGTTATGTGCACACAATCGTCCTCGGCAGTGTCCACTGAATGGCGCACGCTATATACAAAACTGAAATATTGAAAATCAGAAGCCCTGGTCCTCCTGGCTGCGCTCCACCGACCTGTCTGCGCGTACGTGACGCATGGGAGGGGGGAGACTACTTAAAGGCGGATTAACGCTGGCAAGACATTAAATCCAACCTCCCTCCATCCAGACGCAGCGCGCAGCCCATCAACCTGATCTGAAGATCGAAAATAGGGGGGCTTATAGTAATCAGCCCTTCAGACTCCCATGACAAGGAAAAGTGTGGCAACGTCGTGGGAGCGCTCGGCACACACAGCAGGACGCTCGCTGGCGCTGCGCGCTAAGCACATAACCAAGCAGATAGCGCGCAGAAAGACGGAGAGAAGCGGGGACGGCGGCAGCATCCCGTGACGGATGCATTTCTTAGCTAAAACCGGACGTTTTGGAGACTGAAAACAAGAGAGAGAGGGAGAGAAGCAGGACTGGAAATAACGCGCTTTTTTTTTTTGGAGGGATTTGAACAGAGTGCCATTGTGCTCTAGTCTTCTCCGGATGCTCAGAAATGGGGGAATGGACTATACTAGAGAGGCTCCTGGAGGCTGCTGTCCAGCAGCACTCTACTATGATAGGAAGGTAAGATGATGAGCAAAAATCAGGACAACAGAAGAATCGCAGCAGCCTCCAGGATCGTCTTTAGCATGGTTCCCAGTCCCCCGTTTCTGTGTTGTGCCTCAAGGATCGTCTGTAGCATGGTGCCCAGTCCTTCGTGTCTGTGTTGTGGATTTTTTTCTGTCTTGTTTCACAGATTTCCTTTTTTTACTCCCATCCTTCTAAACGAGACAGCTGAGTAAACCACTTGACAGCTGTCGTTTCAGAACCTGGGATGGTGCTGCGAGCAGCCTAAACTAAAAAAAAAAAAAAAATCCATGTGTCATTTCATGTGTTCATTTTATCCACGTATCCCTTTGATGTTTGGTGGTGAGTTGGAGTGGTGGTTGTGCACTCATGGGTGGCAGAAGGGGATCGGCGTTATCACCTCTTTCCATTAACAAAGCGCACACAGGTACAGGCAGAGCAACGCCGATTGCTTACATGTCATTCTCATTTCAGCCATTTGATCAGAAAACACACTGGAACACACACAATCACAAGAACACAGTAATAAAAACACACACATATCCTCAATGTTTCAGCACTGTTTCAGCACTGGACAGCTCCCCAAATCCAACACACACTCGAATTGGACTGTGAGCGCTTCAGCCACCGAGGCTGCGCACAACTGAACCACACTTGTACCAGATAACACACTTATTTTCACATTGTTTGTTTGTTTGCTTGCTTTTTAGGATCCTACTAACAGTGGTGGTCATCTTCCGGATTCTAATCGTAGCAATAGTTGGAGAGACTGTCTATGATGACGAGCAGACCATGTTTGTTTGTAACACCTTACAGCCGGGCTGCAACCAGGCATGCTACGACAAGGCATTTCCCATTTCACACATTAGATATTGGGTTTTTCAGATCATCATGGTGTGCACCCCGAGTCTTTGCTTTATCACGTACTCGGTGCATCAGTCGGCCAAGCAGAAGGAACGGCGGTACTCAACAGTCTATCTGACACTAGATAAGGATCAAGATTCACTGAAGCGAGACGAGAGCAAAAAGATAAAGAACACGGTTGTAAATGGAGTACTTCAGAACACGGAGAACTCCACCAAAGAAGCCGAGCCGGACTGTTTAGAAGTCAAAGAGATCCCTAATTCGGCAATGAGAACTACAAAGTCCAAAATGAGGCGACAAGAGGGCATCTCCAGGTTTTACATCATCCAGGTGGTTTTCCGAAACGCGCTGGAAATAGGCTTTTTGGTGGGTCAGTATTTCTTGTATGGATTCAACGTCCCGTCGGTGTACGAATGTGACCGCTACCCCTGCATCAAAGACGTCGAGTGCTACGTCTCCAGGCCCACGGAGAAGACTGTGTTCCTGGTGTTCATGTTCGCCGTCAGTGGGTTCTGTGTGGTGTTGAACCTGGCTGAACTCAATCACTTGGGGTGGAGGAAAATCAAAACGGCCGTGCGAGGTGTGCAGGCTCGGCGGAAGTCCATTTATGAAATCAGAAATAAGGACTTGCCGAGGATGAGTGTGCCAAATTTTGGCCGCACTCAGTCCAGTGACTCTGCTTATGTGTAACACATGGGAAGAAAGGAAAAACAGATGTATAAATAAAACCATGATGGACATGATGGACAGCTCCGCACGCCTAATTCGTGTCATGACTTTAAGAGTGGGCAGATTTTTTTGATTTGTTGGTCTTTTAAGGACTTCATGGCAAGCGTGGGTTACACGTTTGTTTACTTATTTATTATTGCACTGATGCAACTTTTTAGTAACGTTTATACTCTGTAAGATGCTAAATGGAGACCATGTTAACGTGTTCACATATTTACTCTTCTGTGGGCTTGTTCTGCTGTACTTGAAGAGAGTAAAATGCAAAAATTTGCACTAAGAGGTGAACACTTGAGGGCCTGACCTTATCCAAAATGTACTACTGACCTGACGGTGTTTTTAAGACGTTTTCTTTCCACCTGTTTTCTGGCATCAACCTAATTAAATGGCACCATACACAGTAGTTAAAGGACAAATCTATCATTCAGATTTATATATGCATAGATATATAAATCCTTACTATGGTTCGACCTAGTTGAAATACATCATGTTTATTTTTTATGTTGCCTGTGTTGCACCACTGACCTTAACATATGTAACCATTCCATTGCTTTATAGCTGACTTGCAAAACAGTATCTGGTGAATTTGCTGCAAACGCTAACGTCTGTGACTTCCTTAATTTATGACACACCAAAGCGCCCACTGCTTTTATTTGTGAAGTGTTTTTTTTTTCTTGCTTTTGTGTAATCAAGTGCCATACTTGTATATAAACATGATATATATGTATACATATAAATATATAAATATATAATAATCATCATGAAAGCTGATTCCCTGCTTGGATTATGCTAAATGCCGCCCAGAATTCTTTTTTTATTTGCTTTAAATGTATTTGTTGTGATTTAAATGAAGATGAAAAAAAAAAAATAATATAACAGTTTTCTCTGTTTTATTTTGCAAATGACTGGAAAAAAAAAGAAAGAAATGAAGTGCTAGTCTTTTTTTATATACAAGAAGTAAATGTTTCTCCCTAATCAAAGCCGATCAAAACTGGAAAAAATAGCACAAATTGACATTTTTATCAAAGAAAGGGCAATAAAAATCTGCTCTGGTGCTACAGTTTTTTCATAGAGTGGTTTAAATGTAACCGAAACAGACCAGAAAAAAAAAACACAAACATCTTTTTTTTTTCTCTGTGGAAAATAAAAGTGGGATTCATGTACACCAGCAATGTGTGAGGTGCAGTACTTTGTGTCTGCTGCTTGAGCTCATGTTGACTGACCTATCACACAGATATATATATATTCAGGGGAAGTTTTGCCTTGGTGCAGTGAAGATGTTAGCCACACCCACTCTGTACAGAAAAAAAACACTGCAGGACACACCTTGTACAGGATCTCATCACTCTGCAATATGTTGCAATACTGATGCTGCTTATACAAGACACATCAATACTTTTGCTCAGTAACGGAGTGGTCTGAGGGAACTTTTAATCTATATGCATCAAATCTGACACTGCTCTGAGCCCTTACAGTGAGCTATACGTTCCCACTGTCTCACTATGAACTTAGTTTGTGACTTTCCCTGTACTCTGCAGGAATGACAAAAAGCTGATCATGATTCTGAATACGGAGGGAGCTGCCCTTTCTGCAGCTCCGCTCATCCCTTCTTCTCTCATTTGAGAATGTAAGAAAGCAGCCTGAAGTGAGGGGGGAGGTTGTGTACTCCTCATGAAGGTCAAAATGAAAACAAAAGATGGGGGAGAGGGGGAAAAAAAGAGAAGGTGCTGAAGACTGTGTCCACACAAAGGAGGGAGAGTGAGGGTGAAATAAAGACACAGAGAGATAAAAATGAGATGTATGCAGCTGACCGTTGCAGGTGATCTGGGAAGGGCTGGTCTCTTCATGATTCTCCTGCCAGGATGACTCTGCAAAGCTGGGGGAGATCGAAGAGCGGCGGCACCGGCGCATCCATCTCCGACTCAGCGGGGAACCCAGATTTCTCCCTAAGTCATGAACTTGAAAAAAAGAAAAGCAGAAGAAAGGAGAGCCGTTTGTCAACTTCGCTTTGATGCAATGCAGTGCACGCCTGTGTGCATCTTTGTCTTCCTCTCTTTTTTCCTCCTGCTCATGTGTGTCTTCTGCAGGCATTCAAATACTCCTGAAATGGCCCACTACAAAACCTTTATTTACTTAACATCACAAAATTATAAATCAACCTTAAGATATACAAAAGTAAATATAACAAATCTGCACTGTACAATTACAGTACAATGTTTAAATGCAATTGCCATAATTTCTTGCTTTAGTAATTTCCCTGTAACACTCAACCTGGTGTCAAACTCCAGCAAAATGGCAAAATTATTGGGGTATGTTCCAATGCAATTATGCATGCTGTCGTGCATTTACATCATGTGAGTGTTGCAGGACTCAGCAGAGATTACACTGTACCTGTGTGTCTGCATCTTTGCAGAGTCGTGACAGCCAGGTTACAGGCCGCGCAGAGACGAGTCACAATGCAAACGCACCGTATATAGATGTTAAGTAATCTCAAGGCCCTATGCATTTATCTACCGGCCGTACCCATCCTGACAACTGCAGTGGAAGACATCAAGGCTGCACGCGAGCTATTTTAAGACTACAAGGCAAAAACACTGCAGGAACACCTCCAATTTCATGTGATTGCAGGTGCTCAGGGTGAAGGAAGAGATTGTTAGAGACGTGTCCCCCCCCTGTTAATATGAGTCATCGACAAAGAGACACCCTAATATTAAAGGAGAGGTCCTCTCCCTGTGGTGTGTGTGGGAGTGGAAGCCACTTAGATCATAAACAAACAGCTCTTTTTATGAGCTATGTGGGCCACCTCATCATCACTCTGTCCACCTTCATTCAGGACAAAGACAGATTAATATTTAAGATCATACGCTGCACACACTCACTTGTAGGGGTGTGTGGTATGCAGGTGACATTGTTAATTATAAGATGTTATTTCTGAATTAAATTCACAAAAATGCGCACATACAGAGATTCACATAATTAAACACAAGGCAGAACATAACATAAATATTCATGTTCATTCATTTACATGTTGCAATAAGCAGAAATGTCTAAAGTTTGAGTTTAATGTGATATAATACTCTGAGGTCAGCAGGCAGGCTGTTCTAGGGTAAAAACACAACCCTATATGAGTTCAGTTTTGTTTATCACTGCAGTATAGACTGTTGTACTCACCAGTATCATCTTAGGAACATTAAGTATGAGTCAAAATCCAGTTGGTGCAGGTTCAAAGTAGCCAAAGTGGCTAAAATTGCAGCATTAAGGTTGTGTGCTGCAGTACAGCAGTTCCTACACATTTTTATGTAACAGTCAAACTCAAAGATTTTGTCCAAAGGCACATGATCTAATAGGAATTTCACTGTTTGGCACAGAACTGTAAAACGTTCACGCTGCAGGGGAGGATATGGATATTTTAAAAAAGCTCTTTCACTGTAATGCTGTCTGTGTCCTAATTTCAAAAATTGTAGCTTAAACTATTCCTCATTTTTAAAACACAGACTTGAGATGAGACCAGTCAAAGGAAGTAGTAGTATAGCGTCATATATTTAGCTACATGATAGTCAGCTCCAGGCCTGAGTCAGAGAAAACTGGGTGAGTAGTTTGCAGTTTGAGAAGCAGATCGAATTCTTTTTGGTTGTTTCCACATGATACAAACAAAGAAAGGATGTTTAATGGTTTGAAATTGCAGATGAGACATATATCTTGAGAAGAGTGTGTTTTTATCTGAGGGACAAGGCCGGACTGGCGGAGGTGAGTGATGGAGCTGGACTGCTGACACCTTTATTAACAACCATGGCAGCCGCCTTACATCATACTGACACCTCCTCTTGGAATAAGGTGGTGGACAAGAACTGTTGAACAGATTCCAAAATACAGCCAAATCAATCATAAGAGGACTCAGAAGAATTAGAAATTCGTCATATTATCTGGGGTCTGTCTGGGCATTTGTCTTTTGACATAATAATTATTTGTAACTTCTCTTCTATTCATTTATATCAAAACTGCCCAGCTAAATGCAACTGTATAATATTATTTTGATGAGAGGAAATCCCCATGCCTGATTTTCTCGCAGCAGCCTCTGCTCTCTGCGGCCTGTCAGAAAATGTGACAGACTGAACCACAACTTTCACCTGAAAGTGAATCCTGCAATCCCTTTGCCCCAAAACGAGCATGTCCTCCCAATTTCTACTCTTTCACCAATCTGAAAAGAGGAGGCTGGCTCCGGGGGAGCGCTGCTTTAATTCTGCCTTTTGCGCAGATTACTGCATGGAAGGGGGGAGAGCAAACAGAAGAAAAAACACTGAATGTGGGTCTTTTTGATCCACTCAGCCAGAAGCAATGAAATTAGCCTGGTTACTGCAGCACATATGCACGGCATAGCATGGCATAGGCAGATATGGCAGACATTGAAACAAAACACACTTGATGTTTGCATCCATGTGGGGAAGGAAGACCGTAACGCATTTGCACAGCGTGACCAAGTTTCTAACTTTCCGTCTGCCAGAGGAGCAAAAGCATCCGCTCTCTTCTGGCTGTAAAGTAGTTTCCTCTGTCTCCAGCCGCAGTAGTTTCTCTCCCTCCTCACCGCCGCCGCTGCTTTATGGCAGATCAGGGAGGCACAACACCAAACTTTCATTCTGTGATCTGTGCTTTGGGTGTTTTTGTTTTTAAACTTCTGGACTTTAATGAAATCTTCGCAGGACAAGGGCAAAAGGACAGAGAACATTTGACAGAGGGATTTGGCGGGCCGGTCTGGTTGGTGGTTGGGCCATATTGGCTCACAGAGGAGGATTTGGTTGAGAATAAGCACTGGCACTGACAAAATATACCTGACAGACCTGACAGCTGATTAATTTCCCATCCATTTTTTAATGTGACCCCCAGGATTAAGAACATTAGGGGATTATACACAGATTTGTTCGCAGTGGGACAGCCAGCACCTGGGTGAGGACACAATGCATCCAAAGCCAAAAAAATGACATATTCATCCTCTTTTTCACCAGGTAGGTCAGGTTGAGCTAGAATTAGTCAGGGTCAAGTCAGAACTTTTGATAAAGAGACCAGTTAACTTTCCCTGTTTGCATCTTACTAATTATTTTCTCTGCATTCAGCATTTCTGTTACGAGGCTCGAGCATTTGGAAGCTGCCCCCCCTTGAATACTACAGATTTTTTTTGCCATAATGCACCAACTTTCTCTGGTAAAGCAGTTTGTCATTAATGCAAAGCAGTCAGAGCAAGGCCATGCTGCAGCAAAAACAAACCCTAAACAATTTCCTGCTTGTGACATCTTTAATTTCCCTCCAGAGGTGACAGTTCATTCTGACACCTACTGCTTGTTCTAACTTTCTATGCCCACTCGCCTCCTCTGCATTCCCTAATAGCTTGTACTACAAGCAGCACATCGACCCTGATAAATGTTTAGGTTCTGCACCATTACACAGCCAATAAAAATCAGTGGCTGGCAAGTCTTAATCGGACACGGAGCCCTTGCCGGCCAATTGGACTTGTAGCGATATAGGAGCTACAGAATAGCAGCATGCTTAGGAAGATGGAAGAGACAGCAAGGCAGAAACTATAGAGATATTAATTTACAGCTGCCCATACTGAAATGCAATCACACACACAGAGAAGAATGTGAATCACGACTGTGTATTACAGAGGCACACAGGGATGGAAAATAATACTCATCTTGTGAGATTTGTGGCTGCACAATAAAAGGACCACCTTTTAACTTGTCTGCTTTGCAGGCAGATGAGCGAGGAGGCTGCTGCTATAAAAAACGAGGAGCCGTAATGGAATGTAAACAAAGAGAAAGGGAAGAAAAGAAATATCGCCACTTTGATGGCGAATTCTGTTGTTTCTTAATCCTAGGGGAAGTGTGAGATTACACAATGCGGGTTGGACTCAGTGACTCCGCTGCTGCTGCTTGGTTTGTTCATCTACTCTACCTCACTGTGGTTTACCTTTGGACTCTGCATGAACCAGACACACTGCTGTCTGCTTTCTCTCAGTTGCGAGTATCTCGATTACTCCTTCCTTCCTTTCCTTAATGCCTTGCCCTCGTGCCAAAGAATCCACCTCCCTCTTTCTTCAACTCCTTCCTCTCTACAATCCTCTCTCATCTCTTTCTCTCTCCCTCCTCCTTAGTGTGTGTCTGTTCTCTCCCTTCC